TGCCGACAGGCTTAGAGTTTATCACTTACCATCTATATTAGTTAGCTAGCATCATTTGTATATATGAATTAATTACTGAAATAAATACCTGGCAAGATACACCAAAGTTAAAAAAAAAAAAAAAAAAAATTTGAATTAATTCAAAATAAATAAAAATTTTTTAATATATATATATATAAATTATTCATATTTGTTTAACAAAAATTATATATCAAACTAGTAGTATTGAACACTATATATTTATTTTTTTTTCACATAATATAACACAACTAATTAACTATTATACCCATTTTATAAAATTAAATAATAATAATGTAATTGAGTCAGATCATATAAATAGCAGTATCACACTTATTTGTTAGTTCTTTTGTACTTCGAATTTTCATCTAGTGCAATTAGGTCAGATCATATAAATAGCAATATCATGCTTATTTGTTAGTTCTTTTGTACTTCAAATTTTCATCTAGTGCAAGAAAAATAGATTAGAGTAGTTTATGATGAATGATAATACCATTATTAAAAACACAAAACTTCCTTTGCTCCCTTCATTATCTAATATTGGAGGCGATCATAACACTATCTTCGATGATAGTACAGAATTTTCTTGGATCTATTGGTTATTCGACACTGTAGATAATAGTGAAAATAATTCTACCTTTAATTTAGTTGAAGCATGCAGTTTAAAAAATGTCTATAAAATAAATAATAGTTTTGATCAGCTAAATACATATAAAAATATACAAAGACCTGATATCAGAGACTTATCATTTTGTGGAGACTTTTTAGAAGTTGATGAAGATATGAAGCCACTTCGTTTGGACATCCTGGAAAATGATTTTAACCAGTTAATTACACATGAGATAGAAATTGAAACTAATGACGAAAATGAAGATAATAGAGAGTCAGACCCATTATATTCAGTTGCCCTGGAAATGAACTTTAATAATTAGAAAGAACTTGATGAGTAACTAAAAATCTATAAGCAATCGTTAGTCTTTTTTTTTTTATAATTGTAATTGACTTTTTTTTTTTTTTTTTTTTTTTTTTAAGATGGCTTAATGGTCATAGTTTAGAATATGGTTTCGTATTCACGATTACACATAGCGAAAAGAATAAGGAGGATGGAATATCTCGTCACTGCATTTACACATATATGAAAGGTCGAAAATATATTCCATGAAAAGAAGCCCACATAGTTGAAAGTCGTAATAAAAAACATTATACAGAAAATTGCAAGTTTTATATAAATATGTACTATCGGAAAAAAGATAATTTGGTCTATATTACAAAAATTGAAGATCAACATAATCATGAGCTTATAAAGAATATTAATATGGTTGCTTCTCACTACTATAAACTTTCTCCAGAGATGTGTAATGAAGTGAGACTTCTTGCAGCGTCGGGAGTTCGTTCTGATGCTATAATCAAGGTTTTACAGTGTTACAGAGTAAAGCCTTCTTAATTTACTCTATAACGACGACACAGCACAGAGAATCCTTTCGTAGGTATATGCGGTGTCCAAGAGGTAAGTATAGCTTCTTTTCTCTTTAAAAAACTATAC